GGAGTCAGTGTAGGAACAGTCTTACGCAGCTAAGCATCGAGCGCGACCACGGGGAGCGGGAGCCAGAGCAGGACAGTCTGAGGCAGCTTAGCATCGGGCGCGACCACGGGGAGCAGAAATCGTGGTTAGACAGTCTCAGGCAGCTCGGCATCGGGCGCGACCACGGCGAGCAGGAGCCAGGGCAGGACAGTCTGAGGCAGCTCAGCATCGGGCGCGGCGGCCGACGGCACGCCGGCACAGTCCGGTCGAGACGGGACCATTTGGCGCTCCGTCGACGGCCACCACGCGTCTGACTCCGCAAAACTCGACACAAGCGTTGTTCACGATCTCCACACCGCCGTTTCACTACAATAGCCTCCATCACATGCAACAGGGGGAAAACAGACATTTGTTGGCTTCCAGGCAAGCATCAGCTGCAAGTACCGCTTCAGCAGTCCCACCCACCACGACACATCCGAATCTCGCCCACGAGACGCCACACAACTTATCAGGCTCGGAAAACCCCACAATGCCTCCAATGACCTGTGCGCGAGGCGGCAGTTGAACCCTGACTAAAAAGCTCGAGCCAGCCGTCGATCTTGAAGTGAAGCTGAGGGCAGGGGCTGATCTCTTACCTGAACTTAAGGCAGTGGTTGATATCTCACCTGAACTCAAGGTAGCAGTTGATCCGACCCTGAACTTGAGGCAGCAGTTGACATCTCACCTAAACCCGAGGGCAGCGGTTGACATCTCACCTGAACTCAATGTAGCAGTTGACATCTCACCTGAACTCGAGGCAGTGGTTGACATCTCACCTGAACTTGAGGCAGTGGTTGACATCTCACCTGACTCGAGGGCGGGGCGGTTGACATCTCACCTGAACTCGAGGCAGCGGTTGACATCTCACCTGAACTCGAGGCAGCGGTTGATCTCACGCTTGACGTGCAAGATCTCGTACAGCAGGTTCTGCAGCGTCAGGGTGGAAGGCATCGACGCGCTGCTTGGCCGCGTGTGTGCTCTCGCGCGCCGCCTTCAGCCGCACCTTCTCCAGCCGGTTGAACCTTCTTCAGCGAGAGCACGTGCAGGCCCGGCCAGCGCACAGCAGCTCGGCGATCCGAGGGCCGGTTCTGGCAGCGTCAGAAGCTCCCATCACGAAGAGCACACTAAGTATGATGCGCTGGTTAAAATGTGCATGGTAGCAACAAATAAATCCCTACTTGCAATTGACTATCACCAGAGCAAGGGTCATTACAACCTGATCGTGTTAAGCCCTGAGCCTGATTTCCGGCAAGCGAGTCCTTGATGTGGGGCTTCACACCACTATACACACAAGTTGACCTGTTAATCACTCATGGCATCCATAGCACCAAGTGTTACCTTATCTGGAACCTTTTTTAGTTCCTCAATGTCACACATTATCTTCCTGATGGCATCACAGGTACTGTGGAACAGCTTCATGTCTTCCTCAGATGTCCTGGAGGCTGATTCCTTTTCCTCAAATGCGACAGCAGCCTGCCATTGAGAAAAATGTTGCAGTTATTTAAGGTACTACATGTTTTGAAACAGTCTGAAAACTTGAATGATAATGTACACTCTGTATGACATGATTAAAAAATTGTAATTGAAGAACACCATTACTTACCTGTAAGAGGCCATAAGAACAGCAATTAACAATTTGGGCAACAAAGTACAAGTCTGACATCTGCAAGGCAATGCATGATTCACATTGTACCAATAAGATGCTTCCTGTGGTATGGGGCTAACAAGACAATAACAGACATGAGTGCAACCTTTTTGCTGCACACTGCTCACAATAAACCAAAATGAGCTACGTGTCTGCTTTCAGTACCCAATTTCCCTCACCAAAGTATGTTGTGTTCAAAACACAATTTTTAAAAAAATGGGATTGCCTCTGGCTGGTAGTGTGAAGGTAGCGAATTGAATTGCAGATTGTGCATTTGTTTCACTGTGCAGCTCATTTTGTGTCTTCATCTGAAATGGTTCCTGAGATGACAAATATCCTTAAAATCCTTTTGAACAGAGATCCCAGGTCCGCATTTAAAACAGTGTAAACAATGCATGCCTCCAACCACACCTTTGCCACTGCTTATAATTGTTGGCTATTTATTGCACCCCTTCATTGCTCAACATCACAATGTAAGAATGTATCATGTATGCATCACTCTTTGCGCTGTGACATGAGGGTCGGCAAGATCTGGAGGTGGGTGGCCAGGGAACAGAAGTGATCTCTGACATCAGATGAAATCTTGGTTATTTTATGAGGTTGCAAAAACACACAATTTGGAAAGCATCTGTATGGAAATCCTCAGCTCCATCAGATCCATTGACTGTGCCATCTGCATTATCTCAGTGCTGAACCTGGCACATGTGGATGCAAACTCAGGTTACGATAACCCGAGCACGGAACTTTAAATTATTTCTACTTGAAAAGCAGCTTGAGAATGTCTTCTTCTAAGGAATATCTTTTCAATATCATCATAATTGAAATCTTAGCTTTTGATC